CACATGAATAAAGCAGGTATGTCTGTATGTTCAGACATATCATTATATGCAAATTTCGTAGATTGTAGCAGACCCTGTATCATTTTCATCCGATGAACGAACTGCAGACATTTTAATGTCACAATAAATTAAAATCGTGAATTTGAATGCAGCTTTCAGTGCATCACGAGCGGCATATGTATGTGTTTAGCAGGCATAAAATGCTGTTAATGTTCCCTAAATAGATTTGATTTCCGCCAGGTTTGTCCCCCTGTGCTCGAAGCACCGTTAAATTTTAATTTAAAAGAGAAACGAGAGAGTTTGGTGTTGATTCTGAAACGTCAACAATTGATTTCATTCTCAACTTTCTACATCAGAATTTATTATCTCTTTCGGAGAAAGCATATTCATCTACATAAGTTTAATTCAAGACTTGGATTCAGTCCGCTATTTATAATTAATTCTCTAAGTGGGAACATTTAACATCTTTTACTTTCCGGGATAATTATAGATCGTTCCTTTTCCTAAGTCGACTGAAATTTTGAATCCCTATGGTCCCTTCCCCCTGTCCCTAGGCCGCTTAGCTCGCCCACACATAAATTTTAACAATTTGCACTTATCATTTATTCATTCTAAGTTGATATAAATGGTGAGATGAAAATTCGTAAGCACGTTTTGTATAAATAATGAACTTATGTCAAAATTGAGTTTTGTAATTTTGCAATTTGGTGGCGTATATCCAGTTCATGAAATACTTCCTAGAAAAAAGTAAAAATTTCAAGGTAGGCATACGAGAATGATAAATATTTACCTTAATTTCGTAAGTTGTTTTATTACAGATATTCTTCAGCAAAATTCAATCATTATGTAATCTTTTTTTTTTTAATTTGCATTAATTGTTTTACAGAGGAAGATATCAGGCAAAAATTTGTCCTACGCATTATCTTTTTTATTTTTGGCTTTTATAATATAAACAATAGCTCGTTAATTGGTTGTTTCATGAAAGATGTGAACAGAAATTGTTTTAATTTTACAAAATAAACTTCTGTCAGAATAAAAACATTTATGCAATCTCAATATTTGTGCAACATCTTGTTATTTAAAAATTATTTTGGCTTTATTAAAATTTTCTTGAAATTAATGTATTCTATAAACATGATCAGTAACTGTTTAGATATTATGTTAAGTAAAATATTACGTAAAAGATTACACAAGTAAACAAACTGCTTACTACTAGAGTACAAAAAATTATTCAGGGAACTTTTTAAAAATATTTGTCAAGAAGTTACACAAATTTAAGTTACTTTAGCTTTAGAATGTTATCTTTCCTAACTCCACCAATGTTTGTGCAGTGCAACTATTGAAAACATTACTTGAATTCAAATTTTAAAAACGCCTCTCGTTTAAATTTAGCTGCTCGTTAGCCGCTTTCTGCAAAATTAAAGCCTACTTAATGTTTTAAATTAATTCAATTTCAGTTTAAAAAAATGTAGAAATTAGCTGTTGGAAGATCGGATAAATGTAATGGGTTTTTAACAAGGATAACCGGGCCATTATTTATGTCAAATTATTTTTAACAATTGGAGACTTGTAAAAATGCGTTGGTGCCATCGAAGTTTGTATTGGCAACATAAAATGACAGTAAACCTTCAAAATCATCCAAAAAGTCGCTTTTAATATCTATTGGTAGTTAATCCTTATCATTTATCTTCAGAAAAAAATGCAATTGAGTTTATTTTTCACAATATACTACACTTTTTTTATTAATAAACAACTGATCAGTTTATTTGTTTGACAGATGTAAAAATATAATCATCCAGATTGTTTGCATTTCCTTCCCTGCTAATATCTGAGCACGTTGCATCGCTCAAATGTTGTTACTACATTGATGTTCTAGTTGAACTATAAGGATTTATTTATAATTATTTATTTGAACTATAATGATGTTTACATTAACTGACCAGATACATCAAGTGTGTAAATGTAACGATGAATAATTTTCCAAAATCCTCAACCACCATTTATTTGCTTTTGAGCCAACTGGCCGTACCATACTGAATATACCGGTTCTCGTTAGATCACCGAAGTCAAGCATCATTGGGCGCGAGTGCAGTACTTGGGTGGGTGACCACCTGGGAACACCGCGTGCCGTTGGCATTCACAAATTTGGGACCTGAATGGCCGAGTGTCTTAGCGCTCTGGCGCTCGATGCCACAGGTTGCGGGTTCGAATCCCGGCGGGGCCATGGATGTTTGTAGTGGTTCGGAATCCACTTTAAGCCAGTAGGTCCCGGTCTCCTATGACTGTAAAGAGCGTCACGGAGCCAAAAAGTGAGACTTCTACCTACGCGTGCTCCATCACAACAGAAGCTGCTTCCTTCCCCTTCAATCATGAGACACGTATGGGCTCGTGGGCTTGGCCAGCCAAGTGGGATAAGAAACAACAACAACAGCAACAACACCTTTTATTTTAATTGGCCATATACTTTACTACACTCCAATTGTGGATTCGCTCACATCTGAATTGCAAGCTTGCAATTAATAAATATGTCACGTACGAGCATCCATTTTTCAAGACTCTATAAAAGTTCTCTTAGAAAATATAACAGCATTTCTAACTTTCTTAAATCAAGCGATGAAGAATCTCTCTTCTGCCACCAATACAACTCCAGTAACTTCGTTTAAAGATAAGAAAAAATTAAAAGGGAAAAAACCTGGCCTTCGATGTCTTACAAGATTTTGAAAGTGCAGTGGCAAATTTAAAAGAACATGTCACCCCATCCCAGATTCTCACTATTCATAATAAGACATAGCAACCGAATAAGGTCACTAAACATTTAGGCTATTATTTTTTATTTAGTCACTTTTCAATTCTTCTTCATTTTAATATTTGTTTTTATGTTCTTTCACAGTTAAAATTTTTCTGAATTATATCAATAAGGTTTAAAAAATCATACCAATTTTTAGCATTGTAAGTATATTATAAAGGGAAAACATTTATTCATCTAAAATAAAAATTGTTACGCTTGGAGTAATTTTAATTAACACTTACATAAAATATAAAAAAACATAACTTAATTAATTATGAATATATTTTGATAGAATTCAGTAATTCTGTTACTTTGAGCATTATCTACTTGTGCACAAAATAAGAAAATAGATTGAGGACTAAAGAATTTAATTTTAAAGATCAACTGTCTCTTTCCTGTTGTAGAAATTTTAATCAATATTTAATCAAGATACACATCCAACTTCATTTTTTCCTTGTTTTTGTCGGGCCGGAGGTTTTAGGTTCGAGTCCTGGTGGTGCCATGGATGTTTGTAGTGGTTCGGAATCCACTTAAAACTGTAGGTCCCGGTGTGTTTAGCCTAAAGTGTGCAAAATATGACTGTACAGCGACAAATCAAACCAAACCAATGTCCGAAAAATAACTGTGCTTTACGCTTCTAAATATAAAATATTGTTATTAGCTTTTATTTAATATAAAATAATACAGATTATTTGCAGTTTTTTTTTTGTTTTTCTTTCGTGTTTAAGAGTGACAACACTATTCTTCATAAAATAATTTTTAACTGTTTAACTTGATAATAGAAAACTGGTATTTAACTGATATAACCGATGTATAAAGGCATTATGATGCAAACATTATTTGTTTAGATCCCATATTCGAGCCATTCTTCTGATCGAATCTCATAAACTGAAAGAATTTTGTAACTGTAAATTTCATTATTCAAAGTTTACACATGTAGGATAATTCACAACGAATAGTACTTTTAATCAAAAGTACCTCCAGCATATCATTTAATTTGTTTTTATCCTACTATAGTTCGTTCTTTGTTTCTACACAGCGTTCTCAAAATCCATGCAGTATATTGACTGTTGTATCGAGAAATTTATATTTAAAATAGCCATTATATTACAGTTGTATTTAGATAGTAGCCAAACTTAAACAGGCAACAACGTTCTCGGAAATATATACTAACAAATGCGAGGCTGGTTCAAAGAATCGCGATGCCTGTGTACTCTTTTATCTAATTAACTGACATCCAATCCAGTTGAATAAATTATTAAATTCACAAGATAATTTATCAAATGCACTAAATATTTCTTTAATGGTAGTGGAAGAGAAGCAACTTTGGCAAATGGTCTTTAGATGTGGGCAACTTTCACAAAAGCATTTGTTCCAGTCCTATAGACATCTCTCAACAACTGAAAATGTTTTAAAACATTTTTTTTTATTAAATTATAATATTTTTATGTTTAATCAATTTTCGATAACCGACAATTCAAAATATATACTGATGGAAAAAATTACTCAATGTTAATGCATTTATCACAAGTTGAGATGGCCCCATACGTCCTATAAGTCACATTTTGACTTGACAAGCACGAGAAAACAAGAAAAAAATTCCATCAGCACCTTCTATGATAAACTGTGGACACTTTTTAACTTGAAATATTAAGAATAGACAGTTAAAATCGGTTCCTTATTCCATAATAGCATTTATGTATTTGGATTAGTTGTTTATTAGACATCAATAAACAAAAGTTGATGCAATTAATATATCTTTATTTTATATTTTTTAATAACAACGAATAAAAAAAGTCAAAATTTAAATTCTGTATTTAAGTTTCTTATCCACTTATACTTTTTATAAATCTTAAAGCGCAGCATATTTGAGTTGAAAAATATTTAAAACTTTAAATATATATTTGCGTTAGTTGTTAAGCTCAAGTTGCTTACTTAAAGATAACCAGAAACCTTTAACTTCAAAAATAAATTGCGATAGTAAGAAAAATTATACGTTGCCATGGAAAATATGGAAATATTGACAAAATGTTGTTAGAAATTTAATCTGATTTTATTAAAACTTATCGATTATTTAAAGATGATAAATTGGTGCATAAAGTTACATCAAGTCATATTTAAAATTTAAAGTGATTACAGGGACACTTTAAAACTATATTAAGTTCGAAATTCAGTTTATTGAGAGCTATTTGATTTTGTATCCTATCATAATAATAAAAAAAATTTATAAATAAAATTTTTTGAGTAGCTAACCGGAATGATTAATATTCTGTAGAAATTCTTATTATATTTTGTTTCCTATGAACATCTGTGGGCCTCGTGCTTTACTAATCTATACAACGAGCAGCTCACCGATGTGTTGCATCTTGTGATGTAGGGATATATTGCCTTCCAAGTGGATTTTTAGGGGTTTTTACGTGTTGTATGGAAACAAACCACGCTGCAACGCTCTCACCAAACAGCGTGGGTATCGATACGAAACACTTTACAAACACTGTTAGGAACGCCATCGAGTCTACTCGTTTCTGAAAGAATGACTGCAACGAACGCTGCCAGCTGTTTCGAAACCATGTCTTTCTGGATGCTAATTGCTCATGATATCTCTGGACACAACGTTTATTGTTACTAATGCAGCTGGTAAGCACTTACAAAGTTGTCTTTTATGCCTTACGGTAAGCGCCGCACCGATGTTACTTGCATAGCAATACCCAGGATGTGCGTGTAGCTTGAAGATAAGCTACAGACGCGGAGTAACAATACCCCTGTTAGGCTCTACGATCATGGATTAGGTTTAAGGAGAACCACCTAGCATTTGCATATCGTATGGGAGAAAAAAACGGAAAAACTCCCACCAAGCAGTCAGACTACTACTGCATCACAGCACATCACTGTGCCTAAAGCTGAGTTGCCCTTTTAAAATCTGGAATGATGTGGGTGAGAATTCTGATTGGGCTCTCGATCATGCGGGACCGGGATCTACGGTTTAAAGTGGATTCCGAATCATTACAAACACCTATAGCACCATCGGGAATTGAACCCGAAACCTGTGGTATCGAGCGCCAGAGAGCTAGCCCCTCGTTCATCAGGTCTTTGTTTTGGGGGGCTGTCCCCTGGCTGGACCCAACATTAGACTAAAAATTTGAATTTCACTTTATTTAAGATCAATTCCTCAGCAGGTTTAATCCAATTAATTTCAAATCGGTCTTACAGTACCGAGTTTAAAAAAAAATTCTGAATTTATTAATTATTAACCATTAGTAATTTGCTGAAATTATAAATATATATATAGTACACATAATGCTAAACTTTAATTATAATTTATTCCAGATAATAATTTACAAGCATAATTGTCAAGTTCCATACTTTCTCAAACCTCAAAAATTACTTTTTAATTGCCTGCATTTTCAAACTGAATCGAACCAATTAAATAAGTTATTTGTATACTTAATTGGGAACAATTCTAAACAAATAAACGCCGGAATACTTAAGAAAATTTCGAGATAAACTCCCCATTCCTTTAACTTTGGAGAAAAAAAAATAGTTTCTGAAACGGTAATGATATCAAACGGTTGTCCCAACAACAACATTATATCGCTTTACCGTCTTAACGATTGAGAGAGTAATGAATTGTTTAAAAGAGCATAATGATGTTTCTAGTTCCGATTTAGGGATTTTTTTCAAACCATTCATTAAAATTCCCTGGTTTAATCCCTGCCTTCTTAAAAGCATTGGTATATCATGCATGCCTATCACTCTGTCTCGAATAATTCTTTGCATTGTTCTGTCGTTCCAAAGGATAAAGGACGGAATCATTCAGACTTTTCTTCGCTATTCATTAACGGTAATTATGACTCAGATTTCAGACTTTATTGCTTCAAGAGGAAAACTTAAAAGAATGGGGAAATAATTGTTGTTAAAATAACATTCGGATTGAATTCTATTGTTTGGATCTTGCAAATGAAGAGCGAATTTCGCGTGAAGCCTTTTTCACTAGATAAATAGGAATTCTCCAATTAAATTTTAATTTTCGTTCGATTGTTTGCTATTAAACTTTGTAAGTTTTTCAATTCTATTCATTATTTATACTATATATATATATATATATATATAAACTTTCTATTTTATTTGAATAATCTTAATTAAACTGTTTCAATCTAATTATTGATCGCAATAACAACATATACTAGTTTCTATTTAATAAATCTAGTGGTCTAGTGGCCGACTGACTATCATACTGGCGCTTTGTTCACAGGTCCTAGGTTGTAACCCTGCTGTGCCATGGATGCCTGTAGTAGTTCGAAATCCATTATAAACATTAAGTTCCGTTCTAATGATAAAAGGGTG